TGCGTATTTCTCCAATGATGTCTGGTAGGATCGTTCAAAAATACGGTGTGCACCATAACGTCACCTGTTTCTGCTGGAGTCGGTCTACGGGATAGTGCATCTGCATTACGATGCCCTTTTCCTTTTCGGTACTAGCCTGTAAAGTCATACTGTTGCAGTTCTTCGTACCAGAGTGCAACTAAACGATCGATCTCCTTCATTGTTTTTACCAGGTTAGTGCCACACTGCAATCACCCTAACTCACATTCGAGTACCATCTACGAGCCTGCAAAAGATTTTCGCAACAATATACTCCACTATGCCAATAGTAGTCAAAAATTATACTCTGGCCTACCTCAAGTTCAACAAACATTTGGAGGCATGATAATGAGACCCGCTCAGTCAAGACAGTATCGTCCAAGTAAAGGATATTCATTCTAATTGTTGTGAGTACTTACTAAAGGCGTGTCTTAGCATCGCAGTAAAAAAGCATGAAAGTTGCCAAATGATGTTTTCCAAAGTCCCGTCTCGTCGCACCTACGCGATTATTTCCACTATCTCCACATGACATTCCATGCAGAATCCCAAAACCGTTGACAAAATTGCCCAATAGTCTGTAAACTACCTAATTCTTTATTCCAAAATAATGCAAAATCTCAGCGCTAGTCAAGAAAAGATGATGCAATTACTTCTAAATCCACCGTTGAAGCAGATGATGTCAAAACTGATGGCAAGCCTGTGATTAGGCATGTGACAAATGCAATTATGATTGTTTGCCATGCTTCTACATCTCTGTACTTAGAAACACGAAATTTTGCATGAATTATTTTCTTGCGCAAATGCGAGGCAAAACAGAGTTATGTGTGTTATTCACTACCTGAGGCATCTTAGTCTAGTAAATGTGGGATGAGGGCTAAGAACCTCTCGTGGCATATTTGCAGTGCAGATTGATTGGACAGAAAGAAATAGTTTTACGTTAAGAAGCAATGCCAGGTAGTGCCTAAAATTGATCATTATTTTTCCTCTACGTCGGTGAGAACAAGGAAACATTGCCTTACATCCGTTTTGCTGACGAGATCTTCACGCCAATGCGAGTCTGCTACCAAATAACTCCCAATCACCGACTTTAACGCTATAGATACTTTTCCCAGTTAGCTGGCCTTATACAAGCGAACCTTATAGTCCGTCTACCAGGGCTTGTTTGTTCATCAGGAAACTCAACATCAAGGCTAGCCCACTGGAGCACTGGCTCAGCTCACTAACTCGACTCAGATTGTTGCAAGTAAGGACCTAGTTTGCTATCATTTCGCACTTTTCTTCCATAACCTGCTTAGTTTTACGGTTAGGTGTTGGAGTAGAAGCAAATGGTGTTAGTTCCAGGTACGCATGAAAGGAGAACTGACATGTCAGGACTAGGAATCGGTCCTTATAAGAGAATATAAATACCACGTCTATTCTAATGCTTTCTACCTTTAAAAGGCACTTGCCAATGCTTGCGATGGACACAAGATAGGCTTTGGATTTCAAAGGCCTCTACGTATGCCTCAATGATTCACCTTATACAGTTTTGGTACTTTTTAGATTTTTGAGAGAAGTGATCAGCGCCAACTTCGCCACTTGATGAGGTTACTCACAAAATCGTGATCCCTTTTGTTAAAACCGTTAGACAGCTCAGTTCAGCATCAAACGCTTCTGCATTGCTTCAAGGTACATAGTTCCTGTGTCGGAGTCGCAAATGATCCTAAAGGATTACATAAACTATGAGGACATATCTCTCATAACCGGTTCAAATATTAGGGTCCTGGCCTGCTATTAAATACTCGAAATGATAAATGCATAGGAGATGATACCGGCAAGCGTCCCTTACGGCTCCTACCCCTTTTCACCTTGTACTTGGCAGCCTTGGGTTCAGGAAACGAAAGTGCCTCCACATTCGTTTTCTAAGTGGGGATAATCAAACTTAAATTGAAGAATCAACCGTAGCCGCTTAAACCACCACTCGTCCATGAACTTGTGATATTGGTAGTGTGCAGATAGCTTTAAAGCTACCTACAATGGCTGCAACTGAATCAGCCTAACTGGATTTTGTTACGCTATCTGTATCGTGCGACAGCAGTGAAGGTTTGTCAGGAGGAGGAGAGGCGCTGTGAATGGTGAAGGGGATGCTAGACGTAGATGAGGAGAGGAGGTGGGAAAAAAGTAGGAGCAGGCTGACGAAGTGAAGATTGAGGAGTGGGCTGTAGAGATGTAGAATGTAATGGAGACGCGGAAAAAATGTACATGTTGATCATCTTATGTGCGATTTGCTCTTTACGTTTCCTCTTTTATTCCACTAAACTTTTGCAGGAAGCTGCAAATAAATCTCATAATACCACAATTCTTTGTCTCTCATGGCAAGCTGGTGATTGCTAGAAGGAAGAGGGTGTGTTGCAAATGGCAGCCAGATGTCATGAAAAAGAGGGGCCGGCCAAAGACGAGTACCAGACCGGTAAGCATTAAAGAACTGGTGGTATTGCATCGCTTTGCACTAGGGTGGAACCAATCTAAGATGGTTTAGCAGAAATATCGATTACGACAATAGATCATTTAATTTACAAAAAGATGAGCAACGAAACAAATGAGCAGCTAGAAAATTTGCCAATCACTTTGTAATGCAAGAGTGGTTCATCCCTCGGTATTGGTGAGGCGCCACTTTTGTACTTTCAATTAGCCCTCATGTACCTCTCTGTGTGGGCTGGCCTTTCGGACCATGCTAATAGCCCAGACATCTCTGCGCTAAATATATACTCTGTCTGAGTATTGTCTTCTTTTGTCTTCAGAGAGTCTCGGTACTCTACAATTTTATCAATGAATCAGTCAGTCAGGGAATTATTCTTATATGGATTAGAGCTAGCAAAAGAGGAGGTGGGTTGAACTATCGAAATCCTTTTTAAATGATTTTTAAAAGTCAAGTCATAACTTTTCAATTGTATTCTTTTTTTCATAATTTGACACAGGATGAATCTGATGATATTAACTTCGTGACATTGAGCATAAGATAACATCATTTGCCACACAAGGAAGGGAAGAAATAATAGTAAAGGCAATTACATTCACTTTGCATTTTATTGCTTTTCTAGTCATTCGGTTCGATCTATTGCTTTGACCTTCATATGTCTCATGAAATATCGCGCATTTGAATTAGTCTGGACTCAATTTGATAATTTTATGCATTTCTATCTTATTTGATGCGCTGTTAGTGCACACAAAAAACACTGATAGCAAAAAATACAGAGGGTCTGTTTTTTGGCTCATGTTAACATAAAGATTAAAATACGATTAGTTTTGAATTAATTAATTTATTCAATTTATTGATATGTTAGCGATTGCAAACATTCGCTTTCGAGACATTTTTGACAAGTAACATATGAATAATATACGCTTCGAAAATTCACGGCAGATCTAAATTCTACACGATGTTTTTATCTCAATAAATTATTTTCAATTTGTGCTCGAGCTATCAAATCCTTCCCGTCCCAATGTAAATTCCTCCCATCCCTTGCAGGTGTATTTGCTTCTAAATTTTTCTTATTGGTCTTTATTGAACTAAGATACTTGAAAGCCCATGTTTATATCTTACGTGGCTACTCATAAACATTATGCACAGGTTCCTTCTATCCTCAAAGCGAAAAATCGTCATTGATGTCAAAATGAATCTTTCGTGCAAACACATTGCATTGAAGCAAAACCGAGTAAACAATAAATGCATAGTTATTCCTGGGTGTCTTTCCATTCTTGCCCTTGTCCAACTGCGGAACATTTACCATTGGTTAAGTAAAAAGACAACCATCTGCTCAAGTCGAATAATCGAGGTATGGTTTAGGAAAGCTGAGGTACGGAATTTATAGCAGATAGATCCGCTTTGCAAAGCAGACAAACTTGAGCCACAGGCCTTAATGCCATTTCTTAATAGCAGAGCCTCAAGATGGGGGAGCAGCGCAAAGCACAGTAGCGAGTGGCTCACACTGAAGGGGTACTCCGATGCACTATACAAGCTCCCACCAGTTCCAACAGATAGAAAGCAGACGAGCTTCCTCCACTACCCAATAAACTAGACAAGCGCACTTGTCATTACATCTGCGCAATTGTAGGGAACTACAGTTCCTGTCATTGTACAGATCCAAGGGAATAATCGGCACCGGAATGCCTACACAGGTAAT